TCTTGATGCTTGTAATAATAATAATCTCTCTCTTTATTAAAGAAAAACCAACTTTTTCGTGCAAAAAATACTGTAACATTGACATCATGTGACCTCATCAAATCTATCTATTTAAATACTCAGCTCTGCTCTTCAGCCTGTACAGCTCAGATCAATCTTCAAATCTTTATTCTTTTTTTCATTCTGCTCTTTTCATACATTCTCTACAGTATTTATATTTCTTATACTCTTTTCAATATTCACTTTTAATCTCTGTGGTCATGACATGCACCACTGTTCATTTCAAATTATGAGCTAAAAAATATTATCTCTCTCTTTCTCTCTCTTTATTATAGAAAAACCAACTTTTCTGTGTAAAATGCATGATGTCATGTGCACCCCTTTGAATTCATGGGATTGAACGGCCTGCTCTGCGGCCTGTATGGCTCTGATTAATCTGATGACGGTGGTAGGGGTGGTAGGGGTGGTAAGGGGGGTAGGGGTAAGGGGTGGAAGTGGTAGGGTAGGGGGGGCTGCGCAAGCAGCAAAGCGAGCGTAGGCAAGCGTTTGATGCTTGTAATAATAATAATAATAATAACTGTAAATTAGTATTTAAATTTATCAAACTTCTAGTATTTATATCTATTTATTATCTTTATTATCTTTTATATTAACTATTAATTATATTTATCCAAGAAGAGAGGCTGAGCATGCCAAGAAATGTATGGGGGGCGAGTCTGGAAGTAAACTAACTAGTTAACTAACTTACCTTACCACCCCCGCGAAGTTAGCGGCTTACTTTAGTTATCATCGCAGCCTCGATTCCATCCAGACTGCTCGACATTGGCAACCACAGGGCGTCGAGGGGCAGTCATCATCCATGGATGCTAGTATATCCATTTGTCAAGATGGTGCAGATGACGCCTTCGCATTAAAGTCTCCCGAGAAAGGTAGATCAGCCTTTTGTGGGGGAAATCTAACGGAGAGGGGTAAGTTGGAGGTTATATCCGATATATCTAAAGTCCTGGCATTTCTTTATTGTCGATGCTTTCCTTCCAACCGTCGCTGTCGCAAGCTTTCGTAAGCGGAATCCGATCTAGTTAGTTAACTTTAACTAATTATAAATCCGTTTATAAATCCAGCTTGAGAACGAGGTGGTGGTAGTATCTCATGGTGTCTATCCAGTATCGTCCTCCATGTACCCATACTATACAACAAGGCCATCAAAGTCAAATATATTTGCATGCCACGACAATTGCGGCGGTTGTCTCTAACTGGTGCTTCTCAGCACTGACTGATGGAAAACATATTCATCATCTTGACACGTGTTATCGCCCTTGCCCTGGTGAACTCTTCGAAGGCGCTCGGATACACATTCAATTCAAATATTTCTATACTAGCACAGCTCTCTCCAGCATATTCGAAATCTCCGATTGATCCCATGTCTTTCGTCATCGCAGGGAGCGTGCCATGGCACGAGGGCGAAAAGAAAATGCACAAATTGATGCATAGCCCGGAAAAATATAACCCCACTACTCCCTATCTCAGTCCTGGCGCGGCATATCTCATTCAGAAATCGCCGCTAATCGCTCTAGGCATCACGGACACTCAGGGACGCCCATGGACGACTATATGGGGTGGAGAAACTGGCTTCGCCGGACCAGTAGCGGAGTCTATAATCGGGATCAGGAATTTTGTCGATAAGACATATGACCCTGTCGTGGAAACGCTATATGGTGGTAAGAGCAATGGTGAGGTTGTTAAGGAGGAGGGAAAGGGCCGGTTGATGTCTGGGCTATCTCTAGATATGGAGACTAGGAAAAGGGTGAAGTTGATGGGGAGAATGGTTGCAGGAAATCTAGCAGGCTTGGAGGCTACGGATCCCGATAAGCAGGGAAACGAACCTCTACATGCTGGCCAAGCCCAGCTTGTTGTTAAAATTGAGCAGAGTATCGGTGAGTCCCTTCTGTTCCGCTATTCCTATTCCCCTAGAGCAGAAACAACCCTTTTCGAATATAGGTTGCAACTCTATCTCAGCGGAGAACAGTATAGGGCATGGGTGTTATTTTTTGACGGTTTCCTAGCTATCTTCGCTGCAGCCTCGTTTCGTAACGGCCACGCAAAATGCACATTGATTATCTAACTAGAATTGACAGGAAATTGCCCGAAATATATCAACCGAAAGCAAATCACCCCAGTTGTGCCAAACCCAAAGTTGATATCTGACTCACCACAGCTTCCCCCTGAGGCTATCGAACTTCTCAGCCAGGCCGACACCCTCTTCATATCATCATCCTATGAAGAATCTATGGGTACCAACATTCGCGGGGGCGCACCAGGGTTCGTCCGTGTAGTCTCTAATGGTATTAACGGAGCTGTAATAGCCTACCCGGAATACTCCGGAAATCGCCTCTACCAAACATTAGGCAACTTACAAATGACTCCACTTGCAGGATATGTGTTCCCTGGCTTTGAAAACGGCAACGTTCTCTACCTTACCGGGAAAACAGAAATTCTGGTTGGGAAGGCTGCAGCGGCTCTCCTTCCTAGGTCCAATCTAGCCGTCAAAGTCATAGTAACAAGCGCGAGATATGTTGAAAATGGCCTTGCATTTCGAGGACAGCCGGGTCAGCCGTCTCCATATAACCCGCCGGTACGGTACCTAACCACTGAAAAGGTGGCGCCATCCATTCAGGTGCCAGACGAGAATTCTACGACGGCGACGGTCATCAAAAAAGATATCATAACGCCTTCCATTGGTCGATTCCGATTCAAAGTCTCAGATCCCTCACAGGTGGGGAAATGGACTCCCGGGCAGTACGCAACGCTTTCGTTCGCTGGTGAACTTGATATGGGATATAGCCATATGAAAGATGACGACCCCACGAGCATCAACGACGATTATATCCGCACCTTCACCGTATCATCATATCCAGGGAGGGGTATTTCTGACGACGAGTTTGAAATTACAGTGAGGAAACACGGCGCCACCACAAGGCACTTGTTCCAGTCAAACGAGCGGAGTGGAGTTGAAGTGCTGCTTAAGGGGTACGCCGGCGATTTCAGGTTCAAAGCCAATACCGAGGGTGAAAACGCGTCTCTTCCTTATATTGCTGGTGGGATAGGGATTACTCCTCTCATCGCGCAACTTCCAGGAATAGATATACACCGACTACGACTTTTCTGGTCTGTTTCCGTTCAAGATCTAGGCCTCGTGCTGGCCACATTCAAACTGTTCCCTGAACTTCCCAAATCTACCGTTCTCTTCATCACCGGCTCGCAGTCAACGGAGAGACCCCTAACAGAGGACGAGAAAACTAATTTAACAGCTATAAACGATTCTGGGGTACAGTTCCATTACCGGCGAATGGAGGCAGGTGATCTGGATGTTCCAGGGGCGGAGGAGTGGTATCTTTGTGCGGGCACGAGTTTGAAGGCTTCAGTGCTGAACTGGCTTGTGGGGAAGAAAATTGTTTATGAAGATTTCGGCTACTGAGTTTTTGATATGCCCACACTTGCACTGTTTGATATTTTATTAATTTGCCCACATCGTTAGTTGCCCTTTATCTGGCACATGATGATATTGATCATAATGAGACCTAGAATATATTACATGTATATGCGTAACATCATCAACTTCAAGGATTATATATTATATATATATATACTTAGACATTTTTGAGTAAATTAATCATTGTTGCTCGTGGAAGAAACCCTTACAAGCCACAATCCATCCAGGGGTTACCGGCGGGATGACGCGCCACGCCTTCTGCCTTCAAGCCGAACATGGCTTTTATTTATATCCACTACTAGTTACTACAGTTCCAACCGCCTACAAGAAGCTCCCAGAGCTCACAGCACCACGAATTAAACAGAACCAAAATTCCTTAGCAGTTCACTTACTCAAACGGAATCGTGTATTAAATCTCCAATTCCCTCATCCTATTTCCCTCTTCTCTTGATGATCCAGCGTGGACGACATCATTAATTGTTCCCGCCATGTCGTACGAAGGTATGAACATTAATCCTCTCCGCCACTTACGTGCAAAACTACTCCAAGCAATGGAGATATCCATTCTATCCCATTCGTTCTTCCTCCAAAAAGCGAGATCAAAGAACTGACCCACCCCACAGTCGAACATTCCACCACCCCCTCCAGCGCCAACAGCAATGATATCCGCAACCCCCGCGCCACACCCCGCCGACCCGACCTCTCCTCCTTCTTTGCAACCCTACAAGAAATCACACCGAACCCCAGCGAGATCCGCACGCGGCCATATGCTGTACCCGTGCCAGGCGACATCAGCGCCGCGTACAGATCGCTCGCGGAGGCGCTGAATGTCATGCGCCATCAAACGGGGGATGACGGGTTCCCGGTCCATGACGGGCGTGATGAGGGGCTGCGGGATGTCGCGGAAGACGGAGATGCGACGGGGGGAGAGGGGCTGTTGTCGAGCATGATTGGGCTTTTGTTGCGGGAGGCGGAGGCGCCGCCGAGGGAGGTGGAGGGGGTGGGGGAGGCGTTTTGCGATGGTATGTTGTTTAATTTTTGTTGATTATTATTTTACATATGTTATTCACGATCTAACGGTACAACTACAACTACAACTTGACGTTTTGCCATGGTGCCAATTGCGCTATTTTGCAGCACTTCCACTGCTCTATTACCATCTTAGCTTTGCTAACCCACATCATACACACCAGCCCTCGAGCGCGTCCCGACCTCCAGCCTGAAACCCACGCAGGCCTGTCCAATCTGTAGCAACCCTTTCCTCGACGATCCATATCCGCTCGTCGTCCGTCTCCCCTGCCACACCTCCCACCTCTTCGATCTCGAATGCGTACGGCCTTGGCTCCGATTACGCGGGACGTGTCCGCTTGACCGGGCTGATTTTGGCAAGAAGGAGCGCGAGCGCGAGCGCGAGAGGATCGAGCGATTGATGAAGAAGGGAAGCGGGAATAGGGCTGGTGATGATGAAGAGGAGGAATGGGATGGGATGTATGGATGAGCATTGGTGTGCCGGGTTGCTCTCTCTCGTGGAGATGACAAGGGGCAGTAGACGTGTTTCCCCGCTCCTCTCTCTCCCTTGTCTGATATCTTTCATGGCGAAGGGATGGAAGAATGGAGAGTGGCTACTATTTACCATTTGCTTCGTCTTGGATTTGAATGTCAATTTGGGAATGAATGCATGCATGGAGTTAATGTTTTCCTCTTGATGGAGTCGGATTTGACCTTTTTTTTCAGTGTATCGTGCCTAGTGATCATTCAGCTTTCCTTCCTCTATTCAACATTTATTCATGCTAACCACATGCGTTGTATGGAGCGCGTGTGGTAAATTATATTCTCTTACACGCATCTAAATTTTGGAAGAGGAAGATCATCTCTGGATATATCCGGACTACCCGCTAAGAAGAAAAATAAAATGCTCCGCCCATCCAGAGCCACCCATAAAATGCGCCAGAAACCATGCCCCACGAAAAATAATCCAATATAAACTCCTCCATTTTCCAGTCAAAGTATTCATTCCATCGTAATCAGAAGCAGATCCAATCCTTCCCACAAAGGTCCTTTGTCAAAGCGGTAGCTCAAACGGCATTTTATGTATTCGAAGACGACACGTCAGCATCCGCAGTTGCCTGCGCATCCTTCTTCGTCCGAATCGCCAGCTTCCCTTCATTGATCACGGCCTCATATCCCCCTTTCTCTAAAACTCCACCCTCATCACTAACAACCTCCCGCGCTTCCAGCTCCTCAATCACCCGTTGATTTTCCCGATTACCCTCAAGCAAAAACTTGAGACACAGCACCGCATGTTCCTTGATGTACGGGTTATGCGCATCGAAATTAGTGCAGGCCAGAATAGTCTCCAAACCCCCGTACTTGCGGATCTGGTTCTGGACTTCCGGACATTGCCATACGAGCGAGGAGAGGACGAGAACTACCAGTTTCTTCAAATTACGCCACTCGAAGTCGGACGGATCGTCGTTGCCTAGGGGCGGGGAATGGGCTCTAGATCCCGCACTGACAGTTGTGGCATCGGTCGGTTCCTGATCGTTCGTGTCGTATGGTCGCTCAACCGCAACAGGAACGTTGCTTGCACCCTGCGTTGCTGATGCATCTTTTGGTGGTTGGGCTGCAACACGTGAAGCTGCAGTGCCGGCGGAGTTGAGGGAGTTCAATGAACCTTTAGGGATACTCGCCTCCAACTCTTTAAGAAGGGTGGTCAAGTCGTACACAATCTCCCACTGGACGAGAAGGTTTTTCCACCCAGTGTTCTCTGTAAGGACAGCGAAGAATTCCAGAAACTGGTATACACCTTCATACACACGTTCCATGTCCCAGAGGTTGAGTGGGAAGTCCTCAGGGCGTGCATGTCCCGCGCGGATTTGACCCTGTAGGTAAATTAGAGCGCAGGTTTCTGGGATAATGTTACCGCGGAAAATTGTAAAAATGTAGCGAACGGTCAGCACATCGACCTTGGTGACTGGGACAGAACTTCTGCCAGTCGGTGTCTCTGTCGTCGAGGTAATATTGGGAGGTGAATACTTGCCCCGGAAGATGTGCGTGAGGATTTTAATTACTACAGCTTGGGCGGGCGAGATAATGTCCTTCGCTTGACCGAAATCCGAATAAGCATGGGACATTAGGCCATTCTTAAGCACGGCGTCCATGATTTGTACCATCATCTTGAAGTAAAATTCCTCGTCTGGAAGGTCCCAGGCAGCAATGAAAATCAATAGTTCCCGGAGAAGGTTTCGGCCTGTCTCCTGAGCAAGAAGAATATGGCACCGGACAGCCTGCATATTTTTATTTCCCGATCTTTCTCCGCCCTTTAGGCCGAAACTGTCAACAATGCCGGCTTGGATAATCATGGGCAGAGCCTCGATTTCCGCAGGGCCTAGAACGAGAGGAATATCTGTGAGTAAACCACGTTGCTGGTCCCCAGGCCGACCTCTATAATCGTCATCATCATCCTCGTCGTCTTCCTCCTCATCGACGCTGCCGTCGACACCAGCCTCTAGGCTACGCGAGTCGTCATCTGGTGGCATACCATTACCATCCACCGACTCGTAATGTAGCCCCGCGTTGGCCATGATCGGCGAGGACTCTTGCAGCCTAGCCATTAGCTCATCCTTCGCTTCCTGTAATGTCTCTGCTGCTGACTGCGGGGATCGTGACATCGTGGTGTCTTGGGCGGTAACTGGGGCGTCGACCGCCGCTATGGCACCGTATTCATCTAAATCCGGCAAGTCGGTCCAACACGTTCGTGGATAACCCGTCGTGGCACTCCGATCGATGCTAATAATCGCTTTCTTCCGAGTTGGTTCTTCTTCGCCGAGGGCGAGGGCGCTCCCATCTTCACGTAATCGGTCTTTCAAATCTGCCCAGCCTTCCATTTTGGCTGGTATAATCGCAGTAAGCGCAGCACGGATTTCTGTAGCTCGTTCTGGATCCTTACCCATCTCCTGGATTTCCTTCAGATTCCGTCCCAGTAGCTTCTCCATATGATCCTTCACGTTGGCTAGCAGCATCATAGCCGCTTCTTCCTTCGACGACGCCGGTTCTCGAGGGAAAGTAGAAATCGTTTCCAGCAACATATCCTCCGCGTTTTGGTCGTAGATCGTTCGCAAGGGTGGACTGACAATTCGTTCTCCCGCTCGAACAACTGGCGCTACTCCCTGTGGAGGTGAGTTGCCAGTATCCAGCGGTTCCATGGGTGTTATTATACTTGACTCGCCATTCTGATGATAACCGAAGAGATCTAGCCACAACACAAGTTTCCGATGCTCGTTATGCATGATAAAATTATGGAGGAACTGGAGGCAAGTGATTAGCAACCGTTTGTAGAGACTGACAACTTTTTGCCATCTTTCTTCATTTCTGGCGTTGCTCTCGCCATCGTAACCCCTAGCAGTAACCCTGACACATGTGTCAATAAGTAACAAGATTCTTTGATCAAAACCCTTCTCAGCAGCGAGATTTTGAGCTTTCTTTGTCGTGGCAAGTAGATTGCGTGCAATCGTACAGAGATCGTTCAGCCGTTCAATATCCTTTACCAGAGAAAAGTAGTTATATGCTATGAGGTTGGAGGAGGACTCTTCGCAGTTTCCGGGAGCTGCCAAAGATTGTGATTCGAGAACGGGGATAGCTTTGCTCAACACGTCGGTGAGGCCTTGCCATATCGCCGGTGAAAAGCCCAGATTCTGTCTATGGGAAAGTTAGCAACTCCGATGCTGCTGCTTTTCTTACAAAGCAAATTTAAAAATAGAGACGAAACCCCCGCGTCGTCAGCCATTGTCCAACCTTGGAGAGGCGGCAATTGAGGGGCATGTGGGACAGGGCCTCGTACCTGACTTCGCTTTCCTGATGGCTCTTATACAGAATCTGCTTCCCAGAAAGCAGCAGATGTTCTAACCGTTTATCATCAATCATACCCCGAGTCTCATAGTGAGTCAATGTGCCCGCAAGGACGACCTTTAACAGTAGCTCAGCAGGGGTACACTTTGGCCCGCCATGGGCTGTAGGTCGCTCCGCAGTCTCGGGACTTTGGGGTGTTGACATTTTAGGAGGTCTGCAGGAGGAGCTATATACTCAAAGGTACAGTAAGGATCCTAGCTGCAAACTACCCAAGGTATATCAAAACCAGATGAAGGGAAAAGGAGACTAAAAGGCAATCGAGCGGTGTTTGACGTGTACTAATAAATTATTACCAAATGGGGACTGCATTTTGTGGTCTTGGCAGGTGAGGAACTAAGTTCTTCCGTTTGCCGTTAACTACGTGATATCGTCCCCCGTGGAAGCAGTTGACTGTGACCAAGAAAATATCAGATATCCAGTAGGGCACGCAGTAATCTAGTGATATTTCCGTAATTTCTAAATTACACGATCATCAGCTGCGCGTTCAGCATAAGAAAATATCATTGACGCAAACGCAACCCCTCCCTCAAATTCGTCGAAAACCCCCGATCGTATATATTGACCACATCCTTCAGGCTTTTTACTCTCATCCATCTTGTATCGGGGGCCGCGTCCAAATCCACAGGTTGGGTGACTGAGGTACATTCCCTAGCCAGACTAAACCCAACCCTTGGGGGATGTCCATCGTCTGTGAAAATCAGGGTTTGGTCAACCTGGATTGGCCATGAAACGTATGGTTCGACAATGTCCGCATCCGGATGCTTTTCGGGATATATTTCACTTTTCCTTGCTTTGAATACGAGTCCGTCTGCAATATCGTCTCGCCAGTCGCCCCACTTTGCGCTCTCGTTGGTAGTCATACCGCTCCAGATCAAGTACACATGGTAAAGAAACATCGCAAGGGGCAGCAGCGAGGTAAGCAGAGCTAGCATGAAAACCCCCCCAACAATAATGTCATCCGCAATTGCATATCCCCAGAATTGGAAATACAACCCCCATTCAATTCCTTTGGCCCAGTGTCTGGAATGTACTGCGGTAGGAAAACTTAGGACTAATGTGTCCTGTAAATGCCGATCGAGTAGGCAGTATCCCAGATAGCTTCCGTAGGAGAGCAACACAAACATCGATAACAGGAGCGCTAAGAAATAGCCGTAGTTGTTCTGGCCAACGCAATTCATCAACCATATACAATGATGATCATGTCTAGCAACACATACATTGCAAATGCTACAATGCTTACTTCTAGCAGGCTTCAGAGTATGGCAAGTTCGACAGACATAGCCAGGATGAAACAAAATTCGATCATAGGGATACGATCGCATGTGCTCCCGGAGGTTCTCTCGCGTGATAGTGGAAGTTGTAAAAACAGAGCTATACAAGAACCAATACGGCAACATAACGACGACTGGAATGCATAGCTTGTGGAATATCCCAATCCTTGGCCAGACGGCTGGAACGAACATCACTTCCGCGCCCACGAGCAGTACCAGGAAGAATATCTACGGCCGTATGAGTAACTCTGAGATTCTTAAACTATTGACTCGGATAGTCACGTACCAATACCACTGGATGATTTTCATATAGTAAATAATTCCCGGACCGGCTTCCCCATCGTGAGACCCGGCCTCCACAAATGGCGCCATCAACCAAGCGCAGAAGCTTGGGAAAATGGATCCAGATGATACGATGCAGGAAACCAATTGGAGTTTTTCTGAAACCAAACCCAGCTTATTAGAATTCAGAATTATAACAAACAGGGACTCTATAAAAGACAAAGTCGTGGAATACCTCAAGGCTGGGAGTCTCCCAAATAGAGCAACGAATGTCAGGAACGACAAAACAAGAACCACCACCACAACAGTCCCAAGTGTTCCCATCTTGCCTGGGCCCTGCCTGCCTTGGGACACCTAATGAAGAAAATGTAAGCCGCAAAGGAGAATTTAAATTGTTTCTTCTCTAGACCCAGACCTTCAAAGGCCCATCTCGAGGTCAGAAAAGCTCCGATTCATCCCCTATATCGAGGTAAAGTTGTTGTTGTGTTGTTTGAGATATAAATGCTGACATTTTGCGCAACTTTTCGTTGTTTGGGCGCAGGGAGCTGATAAGAATCTTATCTCCACGTGACTTGACAGGTGCCCAGGTGATGTGGTGATTTATCTCAGCGGGCTCAGACCCTCTGGCTCGGTTTGAACGGGTTGCAGCATTATTATTAACTAGTTAATCCGGCATGACACTAACCTACTTTTGATACAAGTCATGTGCTCAGAGCAATCCTCGCCAGAGGGTCTGAGAAGAAATGGTTCCATCTTCAATGGAGATTTCTGAGATTTACAAGGATTTTTCAGATTCTTCAACTTTGACTTTCTATTACTATATATCCACATATCTTTGAGATTTGAAAATCACCTTAGCTTATAGCTAAAGAGAAGAAGAATAGAAATATTTCTTTAATATTTTAAAAAAATCTATATTTAAGATAGATGTATACTCTTGAAAATGATCATATTTTTTGATCTCAGAATTTCTAAGAGCTTTTTTTTGTATGAGGAATTGGATCAAAATTCCTGTGTTCAAAAACACACTGATCAACTTTGAGGTGATACTTCTATTCTAAGAACTTGAGATATGAATATAAAAATCAGATACGTCGCGAGAACATTGTTATTCTAAGGTTCCAAGATGATACAGAAATGATGAATCTATGAAGTTGAGTTGGAATTCTCTTTCATACTCAGGGTACTGAGCAAATCCTTCCTGTGTTGCTAACAATCAGGAACTGTTTCTTCTCAGATGCTTCGCAAGATATCATCACTCACATGACCTGATTTTACTATTTGGGTTAGCTTATTGCTTATTTGAGGTTAGCTCATGACATAATCATCAATCCAGTGTTAAAACAGCAATGAATATCTGGAGAAGCGTCTGAGCTTGCTGAGATAAGTGGTGATGTCGGAAACCTACAGAATAGGTAGTGTACCAACCATGCTTGATATGAGAGGTTATTCACAAAAGACATATACAGAATATGCCAGGTCCCGCTGTGGTCTATTCGGGCGTCTCTAATGCAAATATGACTAGTGGATTGTTCAAAGACACAAAGTTTTGGCTGTCAAGAACCGTCCCATCCAGATCATGGATAATTCAGCAGATTCAAGTAAGCCTATACAAACAAAATGCATTGTTTCGTTTACAAACTGTAATGCTGACTGCTGCTAGGCCAATGGTGGGAAGGTAGTACTCCTGGAAAAGGATGCTGATGTCCTCCTTGTGGACCACATGAGAGGGAACAACCCCCCTGGCTCGTTCGTAGACCCCAGTAACACTATGTTTATTGCTCACCTAGATAACATCTTGATAGAATATCTTTCCAGTATATCGAAAAGTCCATTCACAACGGGAGATTGGAGAGTCTAGAAGACCACCGTGCTGGTCCTGAGGCCATGTATGTCCGCCCTGTTGGGTCGACCATCACGCGCCCGAAGTCCCACAGATCTGCCTTCACTGCGAAGGATGATCAAATTCTATATGACTGGGTGAAACCTTTTGAAGAGAAAGGGGGGCGGATAGGAGGCAATAAAATCTATCAGCAACTTGCAGAAAAGGTATTTTTCGCTCTCAATGAATAAATGCTTTTGCCTACTACAGGTATATCTACTAAGTGGGGATGAATTCAGTATCCTCATCATACGTTTCAATCCTGGCGTGATCGTTACCTGAAAAAGGTCAAAGATCGCTCACGACCTGTTGCTCCAGAGCGTGGGAGCAGCAGTGCGTCATCTGCCCGCCAGGCAGACCGAAAAACAAGGACCCAGGAGAGGCACCCAGTGGATACATCTAAAGCCGGAGCTCCCGGTTCGAGCAGCCACAGATACGAAAGATTTACGAAAGAAGAGAAAGAGGACTTACTCAATCATGTAAAGGATATTCTCAATATTGAAGAGGGCAAAGAAGGTGAGGCCTGGTCCGCGTATGCTGAAAATGTATGACGTCCGCAGATCCTTAATTGTGCATCGTTTCTCTTTTTCTAACCTAGAACTACGATAGACCGGGAAATCTGTTGCGGAATGGAAGTCCTTTTTTCATAACGTTATCCTTCCAGAGTACAAGGCAAGGAGATCGAAACCTGACCCCTCTCGCAGGACTCCACAAGCAAATCGCCATGAAGCAACTGCCACTCCTTCGCCTAGTACTGAATCTTCCAGGAGACAACGTAGTGAAAGCCACAACCATTTGCCCGTTCCCGAGAGTGGGAAGCCACAACATTTCACTCCCCGGAAGAAACAGCGCATAGATATTAGAAAACGACGGCAGAGCGCAGTAGATATCCCTTCCACCGGAATAGAATCTAGCTCCGCGAAACGTCGAAAACGAAGTACTATTGGGCACATACCCCAAGCATCGGCATCTCCATCCGCTACAAGCATCCAATCCGATAAAATAGTGACTTCGAAGCGTCCGCCAGGAGACTCTCGCTCTTCCTCTGCTCGGGAAGGAAGCACACATTCAAAATTCGACTCCCCCTATCCCGGTAACAGCGAAAAGTCCGGCTCCGCAAGCTGTGCGGTGTCCACCACCAACTCAGCATCAGAGGAACGTTTTGAAACTGCCCCTCAACAATTTCGACAGGAGACTTTGGAAAGTCATTATCAAACCCCTCCTCAGCTCCTAGATCGCGAAGGCGAGTTAAACGGCTCTCAAACGCCCCAGCCAACCCCAGTTACAGATGGAGATGCGCGCGCGGGTAACGGACCCTCATCCTCGGCGGATGATCAACCCTCCATCGAGCACATGGACGAATGGATCGCCTCCAAAACCACTGGCCGCAATGCATACACCCAGCAGCAAGTGCTCGAGGCTCTTGCCTGCACCACGATGGACCCCGATCTAGCTGATACAGTGCTCGAGACGATGGCAGCTGGGAAGGGAATACCCGATAATGTTAGAGGGGTTTGGACGCAAGAAGACGATGAATGCCTTGAAGCGCCGGATTCGAAGGGCATTGAGGCTGTGCTGCAGAAGCATGGGGATGAGCTTTTCAATGCGCGGTTTGAGTATATAATGACCCGCAGAGAGGTGATAATCCAAATGGAGGACCCAGCCGAGTGATGGAAGACGCTTCATTTAAGACATTTTCTCGGCGCCCTTCTTTCCTTTCATTTTTGCTGGTTTGTGATATCCAATGACCGTCAGTGGGATTGAAGCCGAAAAAATTATATACAAGTTCATATTCCAAGATACCTTGAAGCTAAAAGCGCTACATGGTCAAATGCTAAATTATCAATAAACATCCATTACTAACGTTAGCTTGCTTAAATTTAAAGCACCCAAACGAGAACTCAGGAATTCATCTTTTAAATAAAATCAAAAGACCAGAGCTAGGAAGCAGATGAAAATAAAAGAAGACTAGGAAATAAGAGAAGAAGAACGCCTAGAAAAGCACAAAATATTGAAAAGAAGGCCAATAAAGGGCGAGAAGAATTACAGATACTTCAATTTCCTGTCTTTCCTGTCCTTTAAAAGTTGAAAGAAAGCCAGCCATGGTAGTAAAAGAGTAACGACAAAGCCAAGGCTAAAAGCTAAAAGATATAGTAGAACACAGTATTGGGAAGTAATTTTTTTTCTCCATGATCCTTGAATCACTAACCAATATCACACGGGGGGAAAACACCTTCCGAATTATTTGTGGCGTTACAAAGTACCAGAAATTTGCGGATATGTAAGATAAGGGTAGAAAGTTGGTTTGGGTTTCACGGCGGTCGGTCCGGAAACGGCACCTTCTGTCTTGACATACCGCCAGCCAGGAAGAGGAGTGCAGAAAATTCATGATAGAGATACATATCCAAGAGGACGACCGTTTGGTAACCTCCTTGACAATATAAAGTAGGAAAAAGTCAAGGCTAGTGGGGAGCATAGGACTAAGCGTCCTTGAAAACCCTGTATGAAAGTCAGCATGGCGTTCAAGATGTTAGGAGGGAAGCATTTAATGGTACATACAAATGTTGTTCGTAAAATTGTAGCATCTAGGATATCGCATCAGTTTAATCAAGCATCACGATAGCACTTTTGACAGCAAAATATCGACATTGCATACCTTCTGCGGACACTTTTCATAACATTGCTGAATCGAGACTTTGGCTTTCTTGTCGTTATTCCAGTTGAGGTACACAAATAAATTACCTGTGGGTGGATCGCGCATTATTGTATCGATGGACTTGACCTGTGAATCCCAGTTCTTCGTTTTCGGTACCCAATCCGCAACATTATTTTCCGTTTCTGGTGTCTCATTCGATTCCGAGGCGCGAGATGTCTTTGACCTTTTGCTGGCCGCCGTGCCGCGTGTGGGTGTAGACGTCGTAATGGACTTCCGTTTTTTCGACGACTTCTCAGGTCGTCCGCCTATCAAGGAGAAATACTCTTTCATAACATCCTCGGCGCCCCCTCTAACATGATGTTAGGCTTTGGCCTTAGGAATTGGGGTTGGGGGCAGTTAGGGGGAATACACTAGATTTTCCTCTGGTTCAAGCGTCTGATCTTCTGGATTTTCATAGCCTTTCCATTTTACCTGGAGCAGTAGAGTGCCCTGGAATCTTTTGTCAGTTGATCCCAACCCTTTGTATAGAGAGCGCTTTTCGATACCCACATCTTTGGCAAACTCATGTCCCATAATCTTCTCAACGACATATCTACGCAAGACGGAAATCATTAGGAAACATGTCTTAGCATTTGCATTGCTTCTTTTGCTTACACATTGTCGTCCTCTTCACCAGTCTCGTCCTGGTCCTCATCCTCGGCAGTTTTCTTGGTGGACGGTAGCTTGTCTTCGGGCTCATTGAAGGGGATAGATTCCCCTCCAGATTCATCTTCGCTCGATTGAAGGGCAGCTATATAGAAGAGTAACAGTTAATCGCATTGTCAAAGCGCCCAATTCAGGACGGCGCAAAAAGGGACTCACGAGGCATGATTGAATCCACACAAGTAGCTGGGAATGTATCAAATCCGCGTCCAGTCCTAGTAGTAGAGATATTCTTGTGAATAAAAAGCTGAGCCAGCCGTCACTCTATTGAGCTATAATGGGATTTTCCTCTCTCCTTGAGGCGATGACATCCAGGTCGCGAATTGCAACTGCGCGCGTTGTTTGGAGGTGGTTGGGAACTAAAATAACATCCGGATCGGGAAGGAAGTTTGACTAGTGACTAGACTAAGTTAGTTAGTTAGTTAGTTACATAATCCAGAAATTATTCCACTTCGTCAACGCCGCATATCAACCGATGCCGACAGCAGCAGAGACAGTCTTGCATTCGGACTCCGCTAACTCCAATTCTCAACAATCTGTAGCTTCTTTGTGGACTTTTTGATTTATTTCGCTTCTATTATACTCTCGGAATATCTCAACCCAAGGCGTTCTACCGCCTAGCGGTCCACCTTCAATATGGCGATGCGTATGTCAATGCCCCTCCATGAGCTGGTATCGTTTTTATAAACATCACTGACTTGTTCTCGGGAAACAGAGCTTGATATGTCCCAAGGTATATTACTCACCTCTCTCCTCGGATCTTCGCTGAGAACCCCTGAATTTTAACAAAATACCGTGGTTGGAAATAGCCTCTGTTGTGAAGGATGAGCAAGGGCGGCCGTTTATCGTTGTTCGAGAGTATGTTTCAACTGTCCCTGAAAGCCCAATCTGCGTGAGGATTATATAGAGACAAGCTGTTGACGTGTGAAACTGCAGCCAAGGGAAGAAGAAACGACAGAGCGGGACTGAAGCGGTCAAATCACACATCGTTGCCGCGAAGACAGTGTCGAACATTGTGAAAACATCTCTGGTGCGCAAGGCTTTTTCCGGTCAACTATCACCGATACATCATTCTAAAAGACACTCGTAGGGCCCACGTGGATTGGATAAAATTCTTATTTCGCCGGATGGGGATATCACTGTCACAAACGATGGAGCTACCATTCTCTCTCAGGTCCGTAATTTCTTCGACATTTCAACACATATGGGCCTTATTGTTAACTCTTGGTGGTAGATGGAAATATCGAACAATGTTGCCAAGCTTCTTGTCGAACTTTCGAAATCGCAGGATGACGAAATTGGAGATGGAACAACTGGAGTTGTCGTCCTAGCTGGGGCCCTTCTGGAACAGGCTGCCGATTTAATTGACAAGGGCATCCACCCCATTAGAATAGCTGATGGCTATGACCAGGCCTGTGATATCGCTGTTCAGGAACTAGACCGAATCAGCGATGAGATGAAGTTCTCCTTAGACGATCGAGAAAACCTGATCAAGGTCGCCAAGACAAGTCTGGGGAGCAAGATGTGTGTTCCGCTCGGTGCTCATTCTGAAAATCGTAGATCCCCATGCTGACTATTCGATGCAGTGTTTCGAAAGCTCATGACCATTTCGCAAACATGGCTGTAGATGCAGTTCTATCCGTCGCAGATCTGGAACGGAAGGATGTCGACTTCGAGCTCATTAAGGTTGACGGTAAAGTTGGCGGTGCTCTCGAGGACTCCCTCCTTGTCAAGGGTGTCATTATCGACAAAGACTTCTCGCATCCTCAAATGCCCGACCAAGTTAAGGACGCCAAGATCGCGATTCTGACCTGTGCATTTGAACCCCCCAAGCCCAAAACGAAGCATAAGCTTGACATAACGAGTGTTGAGGAATTTAAGAAGCTGCAAGCATATGAGACGGATAAATTCACAGAGATGGTCCAACAACTCAAAGACACCGGTGCGAATCTTGTCATCTGTCAGTGGGGCTTTGATGATGAGGCGAACCATCTTCTCCTCCAGAACAGCTTGCCCGCCGTCCGATGGGTAGGGGGACCAGAGATAGAGTTAATCGCCATTGCTACCAACGGAAGGATTGTACCGCGCTTTGAGGATTTGAGCTCGGAGAAGCTAGGGACTGCTGGTATCGTGCGCGAGATGAGTTTCGGTACGACCAGGGAAAAAATGTTGATAATCGAGGAGTGCGCAAACACTCGCGCTGTGACCGTCTTCCTACGTGGCAGTAATAAGATGGTATGCAAACACGCCCACCTCCATTCGCTTTTCTTACGAAACTTGAAAATTAAAGCTAATTTACTAAACCTACGTTAGATCGTTGATGAAGCTAAGAGGTCATTGCACGATGCTCTCTGCGTCGTAAGGAATCTTGTACGGGATAACCGTGTTGTGTACGGCGGCGGTGCTGCCGAAATTGCCTGTTCTCTTGCTGTAGAGGATGCTTCTGTTAAGGTATGACTTTTCATACAGTTTACAACTATGCTAAGTTGCAACATCCGACTGTCAGGTACTAATTGTTTTTTTTTTAATCGTGCAACTTATAGAGCCCCGGACTCGCCCAATATGCCATGCGCGCCTTTGCAGACGCTCTAGATAGCATTCCCATGGCACTAGCAGAAAATTCCGGCCTCAGTCCTATTGAGACCCTTGCCTCCATTAAGTCCCGCCAGCTGAAGGAAAATAATCCCTGTCTTGGCGTGGATTGCATGAACACTGGCAGCAATGGTTTGTGTCCCCGACCACCGCCCTCTGTCGACTGATAGCACCCCTCTTGACAAGACGGAGACTAATCAATATTCACTCCTTCCAGACATGAAGCAACATTTTGTCATTGACCCCTTAATTAGCAAGCGCCAACAACTCCTGCTCGCAACTCAATTATGTCGCTTGGTTCTGAAAGTATGTTGCCCTTGATATACAACCCATGCTAGAGTCTGCCTTAATTCTGTTCACATCCTAACTCTGTTGATGATAGGTCAACAACGTCATTATTGCTGGGGATGATGAAGCCGAATATTAAATGACCTTGCTTTTTTATGCATCTCGAGCAACGAACAGGGGACAAATAAAATATAAAAGTAAAAAGCAACGACCTCTCTCTAATATTTCGAGGTCTTGTGGGGTTAGGCATCTTGCATCATGTTGGCACTAGAGTACAGTTTCTTAAAGAACAAAAAGCACGCAGTTGAGACAGAATAATGGAGAAATATACCGCGTCATTGCAGATAACTAAACACTTCCCTGACATGCCTTTGGACTATACATGTACGTTACCAATCCGGCATATGTCTCATAAGTGTCGATGATGTAAACACATCCCTGCAGAATCGCGCCTGGTCTTCCCATCCCATCCCGGCTCGGCTGATTTTCGCAGCTCCTCAAGTTTCTGCATCTAGTCATCCTCAAAACCGAATGAAGTCGCACTCTAACATATCATTTAATCGTTGACTAATACTGATGATACCCGCCACGCGACCTTTAGTAAGTGTATACAGAAAACTTGACCTCGCTAAGTGCGCCACTTGACCTCGTTACGTAATTATGACCCCGACCTCGCACAATACAGTAATAATCAGTTGGTAATTGACTTTCAACCTTTCAATCACTCACTCATCCATCCACTCAACCTATTAACCAATCAAATTTTTCATCCTTCAACTAAAAAAGCAGTGAAATAGCAGATATGGCAGCTCTAGCTCAGACAGTAAGTGAAATATTGATAAAAAAGACAGAAAATCTGATGATTTTTGATGAAAAAGATGAAGAAGCTGATTTATGTTATTTTATAGCCAAGTTACCAGCTATATCTTCAAGCAGTGGCAGCAGAAGATCTTACTCTCTCAGAATATGAAACAGTAATTGATTGAATATTGCTTAGAAATTGATTTTCAAAGTATGTATAACTGATTCATAATCAATTAGATGAACGGGCAAATTCATATAGAATATGAAAAGGTGTTTTACAGAATTTCAGAATGCATCAAGATAAAGGTATTTAACAATTGATTTTAAATTGATTTCAGATTAATTCTAAATTGATTGCTAATTAATTATAGTATTAATTCTCATTAACAAACAATCTCTGCTATTATATTGATATACATGAGAGAATCTGAGTGCCGGAGCAGCAGAGAGGTCATATCAAGCAGAAAGTAATTAATAAGACTGTTAGTAAGTATTTGTAAATTAATTGATAACTGATTTTTATATGATTATTCTCAACTGATTGACAAATGCTTTAGAGTTTTACAATAATATCACAGTGAACCTGTTCACTCTGAGAGAAAAGAACAAGATAATATTATCAAAGTTACCTTGATGCAAAGATGATAGTGAGGTAGAAAATCATACTTTAAAAGTTAATTAATTGATTGTAAATTGATTGCTAACTGATTATCAGTCACTTTTGAAAGAAATGAAAAAAATGATCAGAGACATAGAGGTAGTAATTCTCTGTAAAGACTGTGTGAAGATGAAAATTGATAGGTCAATTTTCAATTAATTCTCAATTAATTATTAATTAATTGCTAATTAATTGAGTAGATTGCTATTATAATATAAAGATTTATAATGTTTTTAGTTTTTTTAATTGCAATCATCTCATGACTCATGAAGCTTAAGTATTTGAAAATCAATTCTTAATCAGTTCTTAAATGATTTCTCTATTTTTTCTTTATTTCTTTTTTTTAGTTTTTTTCTGTTTTTTATTAAATTTCATAGTGTAAAAAATAATTTAATTTATTTTTTTAATTTCTAATTTTAAAATTAATATTAAAAAATAGTATTTAAAAAGTATTTTAATATTATAATAAAAATTTTAAGTTTAATTTATTTTTTTATTATAAAAAATTTTTATATAAAATAAATTATTAATATATAATATTTTAAATTTAAATATAATATTATTTATTTAAAAATATATAAAATATAAAATTAAAATTAAAAGTAATTAATAATTAATAATTAAATATATATATAAAAAAATATATATTAATAAAATTTTATTTTATTTTAAAAATATTTTTAATATATAAAAAGAAAAAGTATTTATATAAAATTAAGTTAAATAATATAAAAAAAATAATAATATATAATATTTAAAAAAATTAATTATTAAAAATTTTTTTAAATATATATATAATTATTAAATAAATTATAATTTTTTTATTTTTATTTTTTTATAATATTATATAATATTTTTTTAAAATAATTTTATTTAATTAATAATATTTTATATTAAATATAATAATATTATTATTACTTAATTTATTTTATTAATTTTTATATATTAATAATAAAAATAAAGATTTTTAATTAATATTATATATTTTAAAAAGTATAAAATTATAGTATAAACTTTTTAAAAATCTGATTTAAATTAAATAAATATAAATATAATATTTAAAAATATATTTTTTATATAATATTAAATAATTATGTAATATATATAAATTTTATTTTAAATTTTATTTATTTATTTAAT